TTTCTCAACAGCAAAATAACAATAGCTACATCACAACAATATGAGATAATGCCCAGCATATAAAAAGCAATCAATAAGTAGTAGTTTGTTTTTTTTTTCTTTTTTTGGCTTTGTTTTGCAATGGGTCTCACTCTGTCACCCAGACTGGAGTGCAGTGGTTCGATCACGGCCATCCGCAACCTTGACCTCCTGGGCACGGGCAATCTTTCCACCTCAGTCCCCGAGTAGCTGGTACTAAAGGTAATTTTTATTTCTTTTTCGGCTAATTTTTCTTTTTTTTCTTTTCTTTTTTTTTTTTTTTTTTGATAGAGACAAGTTCTCACTATGTTGACAAGAGTGGTCTCAAACTCCTGGGCTCAAGTAATCCTTCCACTTCAGCCACCCAAAGTGTTGGGATTACAGGCATGAACCATTCATTGCACCTGGCCAATAGTAGCTTTTCTAAAGTGTTGTTGCTGCTGCTGCTGTTGTTTTTTGTTGTTGTTTTTGTTTGTTTGTTTGTTTTTGAGTTGGAGTCTCACTCGGTCGCCCAGACTGGAGTGCAGTGGCCGCTCCCGGCCACCGCAGCCTCGCCTGCTGGGCTCCGGCGATCCTTCCGCCTCAGCCTTCCGAGTAACCGGAATTACAGGCATGCGCTGACACGCCCGGCTGATTTTTTTGATTTATTGTAGAGATGAGGTCTCGCTGCCCAGGCAGGTCACGAACCTGCAGGCTCAGGCAATCCACTCACCTCAGCCTCCCAAAGGCGCGGGATTACAGGCTGAGCCACCGAGCCCGGCTTGCTGCTGCTGTTATTGTTGTTGTCATGTTGCTATACTAAAGTTTATATTACCATAAAGGGAAAGGAAAATATCTTCCTTGGGAAATAGGAGATCTAAGAAACAAAGACTCAGTGAGCCTTTTGCAATGGTGCTCTGAGACCCCAGGGAGTTCCGGCAGATTTACTTCAAGAAGGTTATCACAAAGACCTAACACACCGTGGGGATGTAACAGTGGAGCCAACATAATCTTTGGATCAGGGACCAGACTGAGCATCCATCTAAGTAAGTAGATTAAGGCAAAGGTGGACATTGACACCCTTTTGATATTCTCTTTTGTTCAAGATGATGACTTGAGCCCAGGTAATTTCTTCTGTAGGATTCCAGCTAGTTCTTTCACTTATCCCCAGAAAATCCTGCCATCCAGCACTTGGCTGGGACCTTAGAAACCATGAGGCAGATGATTAGCAAGTATTCCTGGACTTTTCACGGGAGTATCCCAGATACTGCTGCCCTGAGCAGGGGTTTTTGTTCTACTGAACTCTTGGTTTATTGAAATCACATGAAATCATGACCTCACTCCCCCCACCCCCCACCCCCCAGGGCACCACAGCAGAACAGGGCAGGTAGAAGAGAACTGTCCACATCAGACAAAAAAGTCTCAGTGAAAGGAACAGAGGGTCTAACTCTTAGGAATGTGATCCTCCTGTCTTGTGGGAGATCAGTGCCTTTCCTACTTAAGTAGTAGTTAAGTCCCGTGAGTTTCTGTAATGTTGTCACCTGGGGTGTGAATACTGGAGGAATGACTAGGAAACTCACATTTGGGAAAGGGACCCAAGTGTCCATTATAGCTGGTGAGTCATCCCACGTGGTACCATATACAACCCCGTGGGCCAATGTCACTAATCCTTTCCCTGGGAATATCAGTGATTACTATGGTGAGGGTAGCTGTAGACGTTGTAACTAATTGTCTTCCTGGGGCCTGGGAAGGAGAAAAGCATCACCATCAGTCTTAAATATCTGTGTTTCTCTAGGTCAAACACATTAAAGTTTGGCTTTAATCATTCCATGGATATTTTTTAATGCCTTCCGTGTAGCCATCACTCTATAAAATGCTAAACTGAGTATGAAGTCTAAGATCGATGCCTGCCCTGTCACCAAATAGTATTAAAACTAGCCAAAGGTGTAGAATGTTTGTAAATTAAGCAACCTAAACACTATTTTAGCATTAACCATTGATGATGTCAGTGGGCACAATAAAGATTCAGGGGGGTGGGGGTCCTGGCTGGAAAGTTGGCCTAGATGGAGAAAGTTTAATGTGGTACAAAGGATTCGTTGAGCCTTGACGGAGGGGATAAGGTCTGTATGGACAAAGAAAAAAGAGAAAGAGAGTTCCAGGTATAAGGAACAAGAAGGAAGGCATGATCTTGGAATAACCAAGGCACATGTATTTTGGCCTGAGTCAACACATCTGATAATAACGTTGGATGGAAAGCAAGGCAAAGAACATGTCTTCCTAGACAGTGGGGAAAAGGAGTACTAGAACATTCAAGCGAATACAGAAATTAGGGTCAGAGCCAGAGGCAGCCATTGGGAAACTAAGAATCCATTTTAGAAATGCAGACCAGATGTTAAGGTGAGAGGCACTTGCTGTGGTGAAGGGAACACCTCTCCTTCCTCTCCCTTCTCCCTCCTTAGTGGGCTCTAGGAGGGGTCACCCCACACCACAGAGGAGGAAAAGCCTAAGGTTTCTGTCATGGAGACACTGGGAATGCTATGAAAGTGCTGCCTTGCAGTTGCAATTTGACAAATGAGCAAAAGTTTTCATTACTCCCAGGACGTCTCACCATGCTTACTGTTTCCTGACACTCACCAGAACTCCAGTGGGACCCAGAGTCAGTGTCAGCAGGTTCCTAGTGCCTAACTACAGAGCACAGATTTAGTGGTGAGGGAGCTTCCCATCACCGCTGCACCCCTGGGGATCTAAAGCCCTAGAGTGTTCAGGCATGTGCTTCTGCAGTTAGTTTGGAATTACAATGACACGTTAGGATCTAGAATACTTGAACTTCCACAATGAAAAATCTACTCAGTCTTGCTAAGGCTACCTTCTGATCTCATTGGGGGTAGAATGTATTTTCCTGACTGGAGTGGAATAAGATGTCTGTCCCCACAGGGCTCTGGCAAATGGACCCCTTAAAGACCTCCAAATTAAAAGTGGCTCATTTCTTATTTGCAGACAAAATGATAAGGCAGCACTAGAAGTGCGTGGGGATAAAAGCAAAAGGAGATTTTTTTAAAAATACCAGGTACCTCTAGCTCAGCTCCTGTTGCCTTTCCTAAAAATCTCATATTCTGTAGTGTTCATTGCACTTTGTAGACCAGCGCCCTCCAGTAGGACTGTCTCTGACAATGAAAATGTTGTCAGTCTGCACTGTCCAATATAGTGGCCACCAGCTGCATGTGACTATTGAGCTCTTGAAATGAAGTTTTTTCGTGTTTAATTGAATTTTAAATTGTTTTTGACCTTGGCTAACTTTCACTCAAATAGCCACATGTAGCTTGAGACTAAGGTATTGAGCAGAGCCATCTAGACCTTCTGTAGACTGACACCCACTGGCCCCAGGACTTGAGTGAGTGTTCAACCAGAGCTCTAAGTGGTACAATCCACTTCCCTCTCTAAAGCCAAACTGCATCGGGTGGCACCTGTTTCTCTGCCTTCCCCTCAAGGCCGTGTTCTCTCAGCACTTCCATACTCCTCCACCTCCCTCTCCACAGTCCGGCCCAAGACCCCCACCAATGACTAGCGACATCATGTTGGCAGAGCTAATGACTTCCTGTCTCTCCTCCCAGTAAAGGAGTTATGCCTTAGGGCCTTCCCCCACAGTGATGTCGGGATCCCCAGGTACACAGAGGCTGGAGGGGAATAGGCAGAGTCCTCTGGGCCAGAGCTCTAGCTGTATCTCCCTTCTAACAGAGGAGCCCACACCCTGCTCTGCTGCTCCCAGGCAGCCCCACGCTATGGGCGGCTCTGCCTTGACTCAGCATCCCAAGGACTGATTTCTTTGGTTTTGGATCCAGCTGGGTGTCTGCACTGCCAAGGCCACCCTGACTGGTTCAGCAAGTTGGGGGTATCGCCAGGGTCTGAGAAACTTTGTGCGCCTGAGGAGCTGTGGGAGCAGAGAACCACGAGAAGTCCTAATCCCAGCCCTGCTGGAAACTCTCTGGGTGGCCCCAACGTGCTAATCCTCCAGGCTAACCTCTGCTTCCTCCTCTAAAAGCAGGAGGTTGGAAAGAATAAACAATGAGAGACACATTAAAAACACGAAATCCCACGGAAATATGATAGAATGAGTCTCAGCACTAAGGAAAAGCCTCCAGCAACTCCTGCTTCCTGAGGGTGAAGGGTAGATGCTGTGACTGTATTACTCAGGGTCTCATGGCGATACTCTGCTAGGAACAGTGACTCTATCTACTAACGCTGGTTCAGTGCTCTATAGCTTTTTTTTTTTAATGGAAAAACTCTCATTTGTTTCTCAGAATAGCCTGGTTAGGAAGGTGGTTGAGGCAACATCTCCAATTTACAGATGACATTCCTGAGACTTAAGGAGCTGCTGAGACTTACTCGAGGCCTTATACCTAGTAAATGGTAGAACCAGGCCTTGGGCCAGGTGTTCTGATTTTTAGTCCAAAACTTCTATCCACGACAGCGAAATCTCCTGGTGATGTGATAGATTTTCTGGTTTAATGCCAAGAGATCAAAAACCTCCAGTTCCTGCCAAAACCTAGCCTAAGTTGAAGAGATCACTCCAGATTCTAAGATGCATGGACCTTTTTTTTTTTGCTGGGCCTTTTTCCCACACTTGCCTTTGCCTGCTAGAGCTATATTGTTTACTAGACTTGCTAAGGTTTTGAAGAAGTTCCTATTAAGTAGATGAGTAAGGAATGTTATTGAGTAGCCCTGCACTTCTGGTTTCCTTGAATGGCGGACAGGGCCTGACAGAGAACGTTCACCGAAAGCCTGGCCTCTTGGCCAGGATTAATGGCTTGTGCCTGTCCCTGAGTCCCAGGCTGTCACAAGCAGCTGGTTTCTAAAATGTTATTTCCCACATAAAGCCCAAGACCATGACTCACCAGCCCCATAGAGCCCCATTCTTGTCCATCACTGACATCTGGACTGCAGCCTGGGTTGGGGCCAAGAGGGAAACAAGAGTATCTCCTAACCCTGCTCCCCTTGACCCACAGATATCCGGGACCCTGACCCCGCTGTGTACCAGCTGAGAGGCTCTAAATCCAGCACCACCTCCGTCTGCCTATTCACCGATTTTGATTCTCAAACGAATGTGTCACAAGCCAAGGAATCGGAAGTGTTCATCTCAGACAAAACTGTGCTGGACATGAGGTCCACAGATTCCAAGAGCAATGGTGCCTTGGCTTGGAGCAGCAAAAGCAATTTCAATTGTGCCACAACCTTCGACGAAAAGAATGCCTTCTTTTCCAGCTCAGGTGAGTACAGTTTTGGTGATGCCTTTGCAAGCTGAGTTTCCCGACTTCTGGTGAGGCCTGGATCCACCCAGAGCTCAGGTCAATGGTGTCTTAAAAGCAGCTCTGATTAGTGGCTTCAGCCTTGTCAATTGTCTACAAAGCTCCTGCCCTCTTTACTATGGAGCAGTGAGTCTGGTCATGGCAGTCCATAGAATGTCATAGGCAGGCCGGGCCCAGTGGCTCAGCCAATAATCCCAGCACTTTGGGAGGCCAAGGTGAGTGGATTGCCTGAACCCATGGGTTCAAGACCAGCCTGGGCAACTTGGCAAGACCTCATCTCTACAATAAAATAAAATTTTAAAAGAGCAGGGCATGGTAGCATGCACCTATAGTTACAGCTACTTGGAAGGCTGAGGTAGAAGGATTGCCAGAGCCCTGCGGGTCTATGATGGAGTGGCCGTGAGCATGCCACTGCACTCCAGCCTGGGCAACGGAGTGAGACTCTGACTAAAAAAAAAAAAAAAAAAGAAAGAAAAGAATGTCCTAGGCAAAAAGCAGATGAAGAGGCCAGGCATGGTGGCTCATGCTGTAATCCCAGCACTTTGGGAGGCTGCAGCGAGAGGATTGCTTGAGCCCAGGAGTTCAAGACCAGCCTAGGCAACATAGTGAGACCTCATCTCCACAAAAATAAATCAATAAATAAAATAGCTGGACATGATGGTGCACACCTGTAGTCCCAGTTACTCATGAGGCTGAGGCAGGAGGATCATCTGAGCCCAGAAGGTCAAGGCTGCAGTGAGCCATGAGCCATGATCATGCCATTGCCCTCCATTCTGAGTGACAGAGAGAGACCCTGACTCAAAAAAAAAAAGCAGATGAGGAGAAGGTGGCAAGAAAGGGTCCTGGCCCAGCCTCAGTCTCCCCCACCCTGAGTTCTAGCCTCCCTGTCTTTGCTCAGGCTGATTGCCCCTCACTGTTCTTGTAGGCCCTATTCTAATAACCCTTCTCCAAGATGCCTCCTCTTATTTCTCTGTCTGCCAAAAGATCTTTCCCAGCTCCTAACCTCACTTCATCACTCATGTATTCAACAACTGATTGTGCAAGTGCATGGATGAGTCAGGTGCTAGAGTGGAGGAGTAACAACTTAGAAAGGATTTATCCTGAGGGCACGCCATTCTAGTTAAGAGAGCCCTCAACAGGGAAAAATCTAAAAACTTTACATTGTAATACATGCTTTAACTCGGGGTTGAGGAAACAGCCACCTTCAGGACAAAAGTCAGGAAAGGGCTCTCTGAGAAAATGCTATTTGAAGGCACCAGCCATGCCAAGGGCAGGGAGAGGACCCCAGGGAGGCCTGAGACAGTGGCACAGTGAGAAAGGGGAGGAGAGTGGGAATGGGTTGGGTGAAGTAGGCGGGGCCAGATCCCAGGGCCTTATAGGTCATGAGAGAGCAGATACTATTTTTTTTTTTTTGACTTGGAGTCTCACTCTGTCGCCCAGACTGGAATGCAGTGGCACGCTCCCGGCCACCGCAGCCTCGACCTGCTGGGCTCCAGCGATCCTTCCACCTCAGCCTTCCCAGTAGCCGGAAGTACAGGCACGCACTACCATGCCCAGCTATTTTTTATTTTACTGTAGAGACATGGTCTCGGCAATTTGCCCGGGCTGATCTCGAACCCGCAGGCTCAGGCAATCCACTCGCCTCAGCCTCCCAAAGTGCTGGGATTACAGGCTGAGCCACCGAACCCGGCAGCAGATACTATTCTAAGTACATTTGGAAGCTGTTGTTTGGCTTCAAGTAGGGGAGGGACACCTAATTTACTTTTTTTATTTATTTTAAAGATGTGGGATACAATTCAGGCTTAGGTATGCAAGTGGTCATCATACAGGTGAAGTTTGGGCCTTCCTTTGGTCCTCATGTTGCCTGGTTTGAAAGCAGGTACCCTTATGAATATCATATACCCCCAGTTACTTCTCTAAAAGATCCGTCTGGGCCAGGTGCAGTGGCTCACACCTGTAATCCTAGCACTTTGGAAGACCAAGGCAGGTGGGTCACTTGAGCCCAGGAACTTGAGACCAGCCTGGGAAGCATAGTGAGATCTTGCCTCTACAAAAAATCAAAAAATTAGCCGGGCCTGGTGGCACACTCCTGTGGTCCCAGCTATTCAGGAGGCTGGAGGCAGCAGGATCGCCTGAGAGCCCAGGAGGTGAAGGGTGCGGTGAGCTGAGATCGTGCCACTGTGCTCTAGCCTGGGCAACAGAGTTGGACCCTGACTCAAAATAAAATAAAATA